CAAAATCCTACAAGGTAGGCTTCAGCAGTATGTGGACTGAGAACTCCCAGAAGTACAAGCTGGATTTCGAAGGGGCAAAGGAACTAGAGACAAAATTGCTAACATGTGCTGGATTATGGAGAAAGCCAGAGAGTTCCAGAAAAATATCTACTTCTGCTTCATTGACTATGCAAAAGCCTTTGACTGTGTGGACCACAGCTAACTATGGCAAGTTCTTAAAGAAATGGGAAATATCAAGAACTTCAGATATGCAGATGATACCACTCTGATGGCAGAAAGTGAGGAGGAATTAAAGAACCTCTTAATGAGGGTGAAAGAGGAGAGCAACAAAAATGGTCTGAAGCTCAACATAAAAAAAAAAAACTAAGATCATGGCCACTGGTCCCATCACTGGTAAATAGAAGTGGAAGATATGGAGGCAGTGACAGATTTTACTTTTTTGGATTCCATGATCACTGCAGATGGTGACAGCAGCCACGAAATTAAAAGGCGCCTGCTTCTTGGGAGGAAAGCAATGACAAACATCACCTTGCTGACAAAGGTCTGCATAGTCAAAGTTATGGTTTTTCAAGTAGCGATGTATGGAAGTGAGAGCTGGACCATAAAGAAGGTTGACCACTGAAGAATTGATGCTTTTAAATTGTGGTGCTGGAGGAGACTCTTGAGAGTCCCCTGGACTACAAGGAGAACAAACCTATCCATTCTGAAGGAAATCAACCCTGAGTGCTCACTGAAAGGACAGATCCTGAAGGTGAGGCTCCAATACTTTGGCCATCTCATGAGAAGAGAAGACTCCCTGGAAAAAGACTCTGATGTTGAGAAAATGTGGAGGCAAGAGGAGAAGGGGACAACAGAGGACAAGATGGTTGGACAGTGCCATCGAAGCTACCAACATGAATTTGACCCAACTCTGGGAGGCAGTGGAAGACAGGAGGGCCTGGTGTGTTCTGGGGTCACAAAGAGTCAGACACGATTTAACGACTAAACAACAACAACAATGCTGTTTGATCTATACAACTGTGACTAAAAAATTTTATTTTTTTCTCCTAGCAATGTTTCATAGTGACTTGTTGAGGCTGCATGTCCCAGTTGATGAGACAATAAGGGGTGGTCTACTCTGGGGAGACTTGAAGCTAATTCTGCTCTGTAAGTCCATGAACACCTGCTGTGCAGTTTTTAGCCAAAACCCAAAACTCTGCAACAATACTTCTTTAAAAAATCCCACCTTTAATCTCTAGGATCTCTGGTTAAAGGGAATTTAGTTAACAAAACTGGGAAGGATGTCTGACTAAGACCACAACTGCCTGTCAGTGTTTGCTGGTAATACCTGATGAAAACTAGTCCTGGGGATAACCAATCTAGTTTTTTCTCTCTCCCTTCCAGAGGGGCTGGAAGTAGACCAAACCCTCCCTAGAATCAAACTGGGAGAGTGGGAAAATAATAACACTTTTCTTTTAAAATTCTTTTAAAGTCTTGCCATTGCTTCAAGCAGCACCTTGGCTCTTCAGAACAGCCCTGTCTTATTCCTAGGCCAACATGTTCCTGGGAATACATTCAGTAGGGATGCTTTAAACAGAAAAGCCACCTTCTGAAACAGCAGCAAGATGAAAAAGGGAAAAATAAATCATTCTTACCTATTTATTTTGAAAAATAACTATAGTCAAGTGACTTTCACTCTGGCTTGAAAATTGCCAGCCATTTCCAGCAAATTGTCCCACTGGAGCAGGGAGCTCCTACGTATAACCAATTAGTGGTATAACCATTAACAAACCATGAAGAATATCTGCTCACTGCTATATGATTAGGCCCAAGACATGCCATATGCCCCTCACAATCAGCATTTGTATCCATGGATGTCTATCCTAGTACAAAACTGTTGTATCTATGCAGGATCTAGTGAGTATTTGCATATACAGTGGTGCCTTGACTTACGAACGCCTTGACCTATGTACATTTTGACTTACGAACAGCTCCTTTTGCAAAAATTTGCTTTGACTTGCAAACGGAGCTTACATTTTGACTTATGAACAGCTCCGTTGGTAAAAATTTGCTTTGACTTGCAAACGGAGCTTTGACTTATGAATGGAAAAAAGGCAGGGAAAAGGGGCGGGGAATTCAAATATATTAACTGTTGGTGGCAAAGAGGCTGCTTCTTTGTAGCTCTTTTGCCCCAACAGTTAGGCATGGGGCAGTGGCGGTGGGCATCTGGCAGGGAGGCGAGGACCTATCCCAGCCAGGCTCTGGCTCCCGGCACTGGCTCTGTCCCCACTGCTCGCTTCCCGGTCGGACTCCGAGAGGCACAGCCCGGCTAAGAAGCGAGCAGCGGGGATGGACCCAGCACCGGGAGGCAGCCCGGGAAATTCAAATGGCTTCCTGGCTGGGCTCTGCCTCCTGGCGTTGACTCCGTCCCTACTGCCCGGCTGGGAAGCGAGCAGCGGTGGCAGAGCCAGCGCCAGGAGAGCCCAGCGGGGAGACCATTTGAATTTCCCAGGCTCCTGCCAACCACCGCGGGGTCAGTCTGCACTTCCCACTTCCCAGCTGGACTCCGGGAGGCAGAGCCTGGCCGGGAAGCAAGCAGTGCGGACGGACCTAATGTCAGGAGCCAGAGCCTGGCTGGGAGGCGAGGATCCATCCCGCCCAAGTAGCGGTGGCAGAACCCAGGCCGGGCGGTGGTGGTTTTGGCAGCAGAGGAGCCCAGGCAGCAGCCGTGGAAGCCAAGGAGGCCTCCCGCTGATGGCGGTGTTGGCAGCAGTGGAGCCCGGGAGGCTGAGCATAGCTGGGAGGCTTCCGGGGAGGCTTCATGGTGAGGTAAGGTGCTGCTTTATTCCATTTTGGGTGGCTTTTGCAGTGTGGGATTAGGCTGGTGGGGTTATGTTTTATTTTTATTTTTTTGCATTTTTTTAAAATGCTGGAATGGATTAATTGGAATGGATTAATCCTGTTCCCATGCATTTCATGGGAAATGGTGCTTTGACTTACAAACGTTTTGACTTATGAACGCCATTCCAATACGGATTAAGTTCTTAAGTCAAGGTACCCCTGTATTTAGCTTTGACTTACATTTAACTTCTTAAGTCAAGGCACCACTGTACAAGAATCAAAGAGAACTTTAATAAGCATAAAATTCTTTTCTACCAAAAATATACACTTTTGAACAAACATTCAATTATCTGAAGGCACATGATACATGATGAACTAAGCTGATCTAAACAGTGCTGGATGGGAGACTTGACTGCCAAGTTAGAGCAAAGGTGGGGATATAAGTAAAATAAATAAATGAGCAACCATCCTTCCTTCATTCCAATGGAAATAATAAGTAATAATATGCGACGATATATTCATTCATTTAATGTTTTCATCCAGCTAGTGATGGTACCCTTGCTCCTCCCCAGTACTGTGCACAGTTTGCTCAGAATGAAATAATAAATTCAATCCACAGTATCTGAGCAGAACATATTTAAGTTAATGGCAAGATTAATGAGTCTGTCGAAAACATATTTATTTTCTGTTGCCTTACTAATCTTATACCAGAAAATTCCTTTGCTCCTAGGAAAAATCCCGCAAACAGAAAAGGTATCTTCCTTCTTTTCCTATTTCTAAGAAATAGTGTCTAGATTTATATTTATGTCTGTGTAAAAGTATTCTCTACCTGCATAACTAACTGATGAAGCACTGGGCCTGGTATGTCTTAGTAAAATGCCTGGTCACATGAGTGATTATGTGTTTGGGATGCATCCCAGTACCTCACCAATTGGGTAAACTGGATCTGGCAAGTTAAGCAAACCTCACACAAAAAACAAGAGGATTCCAATTAGTACTGTACATACTAGAGATTGGGGTATTTGTATAGAAATACTAATATCCCCACAAAGGTGGCGTTAACGAGGGTCCAGCCCCATGGGGCCGGACGGTCCACTCACTGATCTGCCACAGACGGCACAATTCTACCAATGGCTCTGCAGTGCGCAATCTGCTCGCCAGTCCCGGCAGGAGGACAAGCCTCACTGCAAGGTCAAAGAGTGGCGAGCGGCTCATCTGCTGTGGAGCCATTGGTAGAATCGCACCGTCCCTGTCCATGGGTCCTTGTTAACGCCACCTGTGCAGGGATATTCGTACACAAATACAAATACCCCCATCTCTAGTATGTGCCCATTATTAGATGCAATTTTGAAGTTTTGGAGAGTTGTGCTCTCTTCATGTACTTAATAACTTCTTTTAAATTAGTACATACTTAAACATTTTAATATTTTCCAATATATTGTTATGCATCAAGTGAATAGAGCTTCCAAAACATTGTCCCTAATTTGACTTGTGATTTTGTTCTACCACACAACAAAATGAAATAAGATCTAGTGAAACTAATGCTCAACTGAAAACTAGAGACTGGATCCAACAGTTTCATTCTAATGACAGAAGCAGTTCCATCCAGAGTTCCAGTATTCTCTCCTCCCACCTCACTCTGCATAATACTTGTTGTATAATATTCCTTCCTCTGCCCTCAAATATTCATTCTTCAGTATTCCTATTCTTTTCTTTTAGTCCATAAAGATTTTTTACTTTTTTAATGAATATAACATTCTGTTCTTTTTCAGCAACTAAATATTTTTTCTGTGTCACCATTTTAAATACAATTATACATCCAAGGTGAACTATTGCCACTTTTCTATTTGAAGTGATGAAAACATTGATGAGGTTAATCAGATTTTCCCTATCCATGGTCACTGCATGGCAGTGAAAATCACAGTACAAATCTGTTCAGCATGTGAACTGAATGTATGAAAAATTACTTTTAACACAGTTTTCCCATGTATTTTAAAAGCAAATATCTTGTGATCTGGCGCAGGATCACTGACATCGTAACACTCACAGCCCTCCTTCTCCTTCTTAGCCACTGCAACTCAGACAAGAAGGGCCATTCAGAAGTAGAGTCAGTATCTACAGAAGATAAAAGCAACAGTAGAGAAGTTGCAATTTCATGGCACAGTAGTATCTTACCTTTATCAAATGAAATACATTGGGTTAATATATAATTTCCCTGTATATCTAAGAGTCTCTCTCTTCTCATTGCCCTTCTTTGGTACTGCCTAATCCCATAAAACATATATTTCTTATGGAAGCCAATAGAGATAGGCACAAACTGGCACAATGTCAGTTTGTGATAGTTCATGGTTTGTCAGTGTCTGTGAACCATGATGATTTTTTTTTAAAAAATGAGCCAGTTTGTTGGTTCCCTGGGTTTGGGCACATATCAGAGTGAAAGGGGGCTTTCTGTGTTGTTCAGCTACATAGAAAACCCCCTTCATGGGTTTCCCATCCCACCTCCTCCCTTTATGGTCCCCAGCATCTACCTTACTTGCTCTGGGCCTTCTTTTGCCCTCCGCCAGTGCTGTGCTGCCCAGCTGAGTAGGACAGTGGGCTCTCTGGGACCTACTTCCTGCCTCAGCGATTCTTGGGAGGCTTAGAGTATTGTGGGTAGTATATTTCTTTGATGGTTCCCTATATATAGCTCAATGAATAGCAAAACCCACAATCTCCTAAGCCTTTCAGGAAGACTTCCCTGCCCCACCTCCTCGTCAGAGTGGACAATTACATGAAGAAGGCAGAGGAGGGAAGCCTGCTGCAGTTGGCGAGTACCTGAGCACACAGTGGAGGAGAGGGAGTGAAGTGCACTAAGGGAAAGGATGAGACTGGGCAGATTTCTCCAGTTTTCTCTGCACTAAAAGGAACCAAATTCCAACATTAACTATATTTTCAATAATTAGAGCCATTCATATGTATATCTTTCACCATGGAACCAACAGACTTTTTCTCTGTGTTCTATGACCATACCAGATAACAACCGCAGAAGCCTCATATATTCTAACATTAGCCACTGCTGCAGACTGTCGGTGTTGTCTCAGCAGTGGCAGCAAAGTACAGTCCTCTATTAAAGCATCTTCCTTCAGGTAACGTCAGAGCAGAGCAGAAAACACATTTGATTTCAGATATCAGGGCTGCTCCTACTCCATGGTACTTTTAACAAACAGCTCACCCCAGAATGCATTAATAGAATGCATGTGACTTCAGGAAGATAGGAAAGACCTGCCTCCAGCCTTACTTCACAAACTTCTGCATATTCATACAAATTGTCAGGTAAATCTGTTCAGCATGTTCAATAGCACAATACATATGTGTACATATTATGCATTCCAAACTAAAAAGTGGAAAAACATTGAATATTCCAGAGAGAAATGGCAATGCCGATGCAAGGAGGGTGTACTCTTTCCCTAGGAATCAACAATGAAAGCCAAAATGATGGTCTCCACATTCAAGGACTTCAGCCATCACCCTTCAAGGACCTTCAGCCACAAGGCTAATGCCAGTTCTGGCTAACACTAACCAATACATGCTTTAATCATGTGTTGAAGTCCACTTGGTAACTTTAACCATCGTGACAGTGCCACTGACACAACCTTTAGACATAATTCAGCCGTGGGCAGGCTTTCCATTTGAGAGCAGAGAGAAGTAAGAAAAGTACTGAACAAGTGCAGATTTCATAATTTCTTAGTTAAGAGATGGGGCACATTAAATATGGTACTATCCAGCCAAGGTGAAGCTGATCTACCTACCATACTGATAATTTCTATTGAATAAAAGTGGACGTGCTTGTTAGTATTATTCCAATAAAATGTTTGCAAGTTGTACTGATAATTATCAAAACAGAATGTTTCACTTTAAAAACCTAAATTTACAAAATTATTTTTAAAGATTAAACATTGAGTTATTATCATAATATAATGTAACCAGTGTCCTACCAGTATCTTCCCATTGCTTGGAGATATTTGCTCCTAAAGTTTTCTGAATGACATGTGGCCTACCTGTACTGCTCTGTAAAAAAAGAGAGAGAAAGACAAACAAGTCTATCATATTAGTACGAATTGGAGCACAAGGCATTCTAATATCTGAAATAGTTTTCATTGGTTTGGATACATGAAGCTTCATAGTACAAATCATTTGGATTTATCATACATTAACAAATTAATCCAAATGTGAAATATCATGTTATGTGATACAGTATTTAAGTCTAGAAAACCTCTTATTATACTTGTCTAAAAAGCCAAACCTAAATCTGGTTTTTCCTGCAGAGGTAAGAAGGAACACTACTGTCTTTCCAGAAATCGTATATTCGATTTTCTGGGCAAAAGCATCCACAAAAATGAACCCTCGATGAAAACCTCAATCTAACATATCAACATAATCTATATAGGGTAGAGAAGAGGATAGCGAGATATGCAAGTGTATCGTCTTAAGAATTGTAAGTAAAAGCACACTAAATGAAAATGATAGCAATATAAGTTTAATTTGGACAGATGTATACAAAAGAACGTGTGTTTTTTATACATCAAAAAAGTATAAAAAGGAACCTTGCCAGTATGTACTAGGAGAGTCCAGAAATGTTACCACTTACTGTGTAACAATAATCATATTTCCCTATTCTTTACTTTCACATTTGTTATTTTCTTTCTGCTGCTAATTTGGATATATTTCTACCGTAATAACATATGTATATCTGTATCACTCTTTTATATATTTTAAGTTCAGTGTTGTTTGCATTAGACTTCTGAATTTTGGTGCAAATAAATATTTGGCATATTTATGTTTGTTGTTTTTAATTATGTGAGTAATGGAAACTGTGCACCTCAAAATGGCATGAAATGTCTTTTCATTATGTTTATTTTTTTGTGCTTTTCAAATCTGTTTACACAGAGAGAGAAAGTGGCATACAACATTTTTTAAAAGTATAAGTTTGTGTGTTTAGTCGTTTAGTCGTGTAAAGTATAAGTTTAGAAGCAGATTTTCAAACACAAGAGCAAAAACTATTTTTCAGCAACAGGAAATGCTGGGGGAAAAACAGAAAGGAGAGTTCTGGCTGTACACACAGTTTATTTCTGTTTGAGGGTGTTTTCTGGATCCTGGCCAATATTTCTAGGAATAGTACATAGTTTAACAGAAATCTTCACTTGTTTAGCACTAACTGAAAACTGTGAAGAAACAATTAACAGAGTACACAATTCATGTCGGTTGTTAAACTGAATTCAGCTGGGAAGTTTCATCAACTAATTTCAAAAGGCTAGCATTTTACTGTAACCTTTGACAGTATGCCTTTAAGACTACAGATTCACCATCCAAACACTTGACAAATTGAGCTATTTTATTGAATGACTGAACCTTGTTATATTAAGACCGTATGTCATTCCAGTATTGTGGACAGTAAATAAAAGCAGGCTTATATATGAGACATCAGCATAATATATATTAATTTCTTCCCCTATTTATATATGCCTGTAACAAATAAAAATGTAAATATTTGTTTTTCCTATCTTTGTAAATGAGGACAAGGAATTGCAAAACTTCTTACCCTGCAAAGGGCTAGGTGTTTGCTTTTTGGTGTTGTCAATACAGTACTGTTTATGGAAAGTGCATATCTAGCACAAATTATGTTATCTTGCCTAAGTTATACCATTTGTTCATAATGTCAACACAGCCTAAATTTATGAGAATAAAAAGTTTAGTAAATATTCTTCGGGTTTTCCCCAAAAAGCAAAGGAAGAGTTATCTATTTAGTCATGAACTTACCATACTATGAATCAACTCCAACGGTTCTATCAAGTACACATAATGGTCATCCTCAAACATACCACTAAAACAAAAAGGAAACAAAAAGGAATTCAAAGAAATTGAGTATCACGTGCCATCATATTGCATTTGATTTACAGTTACCCTAATTGAAATATTTAAGGAGTGGTTTAACAAATGCCACATGCACCAGTGAGTTTCAATGTTCAATCCGGGATATGAACCTACATCTCCCGAGTCCTACTCTTATCACTCTATCCACTATATTCCACATTGGGTACCAACAAGAAATTATTCACAATTTATTAGTCATACGGATATGCACTTACAGACTAGTACATTCACACAATGAAATGGTTCAAAAAGCTAAGGGCACAATAAAAAATGGTCTCTGCAGCATTTACGGTCAATTATTTTGTAAAACAATCATGTAAAATTAAGGAGGAGGGGTGCAAAGGAAAATGAAAATTAATGAATTATGGCAGTAAGGGACGAGCTGAGTACATTCATGTTCTATTTGCAAATCTGTCTTTTTCTTGATGGCACTTACTGGGTAAAAGAGACTTGGACTCATAATTTGAATCAAGCAGCATGCTCCATTAACGTACAGGGAAACTAACCCTCCATGATCTCTAAAAATTCCAAACCTTCCCCCCATATAAATAAATAGCTCATTTCACTTTATCAAAAAGGGTTACATTTTGTTGAAAATATTATGAGTGAGTTCTGAGCATACCCAACTGAAGCAAATTAAAGATTTCCAAGAAAACTGTTCTAAAAACGAAGAACTGCCTTGGTGAATCAGCCCATCTAGTCTAGCTCATTGCCCCACTAACATAAGATGATTCCATGATTCCACTGTTCAAACTATATTCAGAAATTTAAAAACAGCCTCACTGATGAGCTCCGTGATCAAAATTTTCTGCAAGTTAGGGGGGTGACTATATAAACAAATAAGGAAATATTCTGGGATTGGGACGGTCATTATTTTCCATCGACTATGTGACACAAGTCAATGCAAATCAGCCTGGAGTCCTGCTCTCTCAAAATTCTTTTTGTTGAAGAGGTTGCCACTGGATATTCTACTTTTTTGAGAGCAAATGCATTCACATTGGTTCAGGCGATATGAGTTCCCAAAGCCAATGTGGAGGCATTTGTAGCCTTTTGATCCAAAACCACTGCACCTGACTACAGAGGTAGTGAAAGAAGCAGAGCAGCAGGGAAACTGGTTGCTGTCTGAATCCTATCTCTCCTCAAACCTGGTGCCAGAGCCTGCTTGTTTTCCCCTTCCCTTCTTTTTTTTTTCTTTTAAAGGCTTGCTGCACCAGTGCTAAGATAGGTAGATGACCAAAGGGTAGGGGGGAAAGAACAAGGAATTAGCAAAGAGAAAGAAATAAGTTATTAATCAGCCTTGTTTCCAGCTTGCTAAAGGATCTCTGTTACTGTGCCTCTGGCAAATCTGGATAGCCACAGCAGAGCTCCTTTAATAAGCTGCACACAAGGATGAGTGCCAACTTCCTTACTATTTTCTGGTTACTATTTTCTGTGTGGCAGGCTGAAGCGCATCAACCCAGAGAAACCAGACTTTCCAATGAGACTACAGCAAGTTTATTCAATTTTTCCCACTGTGTAATCATACTCTTTCTATTTCTATGAACTAAGAATTCCACTAGAAAAAAATACTTCATTTCTTAAATACAGTAAATTAATGGCTATCACTGAGAAAAAGGGTCTCGGAGATACTCGTCAATACTCATGCAGTTTCCAGTCTGCAATGGAAGGAATCAATGATTGAATGTTGCTTCTTCCAAGCCTCTCTGCCTCTTATGCACTTAGCTTCAGATAAGACGTTCTAAAGAAGATGTCCATGATGCTCAAACCTAAAAATAGTTTTAGCAGTCTCTGAAAACTAGTATGCAGTTGTAGACAGCATTTAAATCACCTTAGATACCATAGGAGATTGTGTGGTACCACAGGAGAGTGTGTGAAGCTGGATGCATAGAGCATTTGGGAGTAGTTAAGCTTGTTTAAACTACTCCTAGGAGTCCAATGTGGACACTTCAGCTTAACAAAACTAACGTGAGTAATCCGTTAATATCATCAGTTGTTCAAAATACTTTACAATGGCAAACACAGCATGTGAATTATTTGGTGAAAAATAGGAAGTATAATGCTGCTGTAAACACCAAAGAGAATCACCTTGAAATTTTCCCTTATCTTATCCTATGAAGAGTAGCCACTGCCTTCAAGCAAGCAAGCAACTGAATGGCAAAGTCATAAAGGGAGGAAAATTGATTATATCTTCAATGGTCCAAGTGGGGAGAAGAATGCTTTATATAACTCTTTTTTGTTGTTAGGTTTTTCAGTTTGAATGTTTTTGTTAAAATAAAAATTTTTTTTGGGGGGAGTGGCACTTATATCTATGCCTCTCTACCTAAATTAAGACTATTTATAGTCTTACAAAGAATGAAAAAAGCAGGACTACATGTGAGCAAAAAACTATCCTGTGTTTGGACGCACTAAGAATCAGACGAGATATTATCTAATGAAATGCGTAGTATGAACTCTGCATTTCCCACCGCAGAAGACATAGGCATTTAATATGGAGAATTGTAGGGAATGATGCTTAATCCCTTTCTTTACATGCTCCTACCAAGGCCATTCTTCTCCAATTATGCTCACTTTTAATTTAGGAGCAGGGGAAAACACCTGGAAGACAGTGAAAGGATTTGAATCCAGGTCTCCCACATCCTAGCCCAGAAGTCTATCCATAACACTACACAGGCTCTCACCTAGTAAAATACCTATCAGTAATACTTACTGGAGCCCATTACATGTGGAAAGTGCAGCTCTGGAATTCTTGACACCTCTGATATTTCCGTGATAATAACAGTGCTCTCCTCCCTGAGGATTCACAGAAAGATGTAAAGTTTTGCAATACAGTTTTAAATAATTCACTACATACCCAAAATGTACAGATAAATTGTCATTAGTGTATCATATTTAAAGCTACACAGGACTCCTTCCCTCCAAAATCTTATGTTAATTATTAGCATGCTTCTTTTGAAGGCAGAAGTTTGGTTACCAATACAAGAAGCATATGAGTTCTGCCAAATGAAATAAAACATGCTACACTCATTTAGTGTTTTATTTACTAGGGAGTAAACTGCCTTACAACAGTGGGACTCTCTATCAAGTAATCCAGGCAACGTGTGCTTCCCCAGCACTCTATCCACATCAGCACTCTCACGCTCTCCAAAACCTCAAAAATTGCATCAGAAAATTTGCCTCTTGTTCCTTCCAGGGGGGATATAGAACAATTCAGTCAGATTGTGAGGGCCTCCCAGCACCCCTCCCACTCTCCATGTAGTAGTCTTTGAAGAAGACAATCATTTTGATAGAGTGGTGTAGTGAGCAATTCACTCATCTGACTTAACTACTGTATCTTGTCTGTAATTGTACTGTGAAGTATACTTTTCTCAGCCATCTAAGATTGCTATATTTATATTTAAAATTTAATATGTGAGTTAATTTTTCTAAAGCAACAACAGATAAAAATTTAAACATTCATAAACAGAGTTGCTAAAAAAAATTCCTGTGAAGATAAGGTACAGCAACAATTTCCAAACTATCAAGAAAAGCAGTGAGACAGCAAATTAACCAGCTGTCCCTCTATGCACCTACTATCTATGGTCAGAAAGGAACAAAGAAGGGGAATATTAAAATTAACCTTTGGATACAGGAAAAGGTAATGAATCTTCTCTCTTTAAGATCTTTCAGAAAGATTGCACAGCGTCCCATGCATTTTGAAAGGCTTGTTACAGAGAAAATGAAAAAAAAAATGCTATACTGCTCTTACAGTAAATTGTTTCTGAATGTATTCCATTCAAAATGTCTACAAAGAGAGACACAGAGAGAGAAGCTAGCTCTTTCTTTCTTTCTTTCTTTCTTTCTTTCTTTCTTTCTTTCTTAAATAGCTAAGAAATACACTTTCCTTAATCAGTGGGTTAATAAATTCATTGTGTGTTTTAGGAATATAATTTATGCATCTCATGTAGAATATATAATTTCAGCTCCTCTCATCCTATTTAGTCTTAACAGTAAATTTTATTCAACACAAATTGGTGAGATGACTAATAAGATGACTAAATATAGCTTTTTAAAAACAAAATGTATTACAGATTTATTTAACAACTCTCAAATACATGGAGTCTAAGCCAATGTAACATTCAGGAATTCAAGCCTCCCTCCCTTGCAGCCTTTTACAGCAATGAAAACATACCCTACTGCTAAGGGCTTTCCAGCCATTCTGGAGCAGGTTTTTGGGGGACATGGAAAGCAGCAGCCTTCCCTTTTATGGTAGATTCTACTGTTGTTGATTGTCATAAGTAATGATATTATATATACATTTAGCACTGATGCAAACACATTTAGCACAAGACACTAAAAATATTCAGCATCATCCATGTGCCGGAGTGAGCTCCCGTCCCTTGTCCCAGCTCCTGCCAACCTAGCTGTTCGAAAGCATGTAAAAATGCGCGTAGATAAATACGTACCACCTCAGTGGGAAGGTAATGGCATTCCGTGTCTAATCATGCCGGCCACATGACCATGGAAGATTATCTATGGACAAAATGCTGACTCTATGGCTTAGAAACAGGGATGAGCACCGTGCCCTACAGTCAGACATGACTGGACTAAATGTCAAGAGGAACCTTTACCTTTACCTAATTGTGACTTCAGAACCTAGCTCTATTAAAATTCCTTCCCTTCTGTCATTAGCTGCCAAAATATTCATCATAATAGCTCTAGAATCATAATAATGCTGCAATCTAGTTATTTTTAAATGTTAAGATTATTTGTCCTCCCTCAGCTTATATGAAAATATATGCAGCTCCTGGTTGCAGAGAACTACTTTCTCCAAAATGTAGGGGTCTCTGTGTGAGGTGCTCAGCTTTGTCAGACCATTTCTCTGCTTCTTAGAAAATGTTTGTATGTGTTCAAATTCACATGAAGTTTTAAAGTTATCTTCTTAAGACTTGTTTAAATTCCACAGTTTATTATATCCAAAAGAATGATATTTCATTGTTGCAATATTCTGACAGATAATAACAAACTATTTTTCTATGTACTTATTTTTGTAAATGACTCTTTTATATACAGTATGTGTTCGCAATGACAAGCACTAGTCACACATCAGTGCACGAAATTAAAACTGTACTGCTTTTTTTTTGAAATGCACTAGAAAAATAAACAAATAAAACCACATAAGTGTAGAATATGCTAACGAGGTTTCATTGTTCAACTAAAAGGGCAAAAATTAAGTTACCTTTGAAAATTGTGGTTTTCCATCCTCATAATGAATCTCCACATAATCAGAGGATAATAAATCACTACAAAGAAATGAAGATCATATAAATATCACTCCTCAAGCAGTCATGTTAAAGACTGTGCATGTGATCCTAGTTTATGTAAGAACTGAGAATGTAAAATAAAGATTTTAATCTTAATCATTGATTATCATCTCAAATCTGAATGTATTTGTATGTTACTTTTCCTGAATGACTTCTAGGACATTCATATAAGTACATTTATTTAATTATGGCATTGTTTTTTCTAACTTTATATAATTATTGATGGAACACCAAAATCAATTATTTTACTCAGAGCTTAGAAGTAACTACTTTCAAATAACATGTTTCTTACAATTAATTCCTTTTCCAGTAATCAAGGTTTTACTCTATAAGATTTCTAACTTAACAAGTGATGATTTCACTCCTTTTGCACTGTAACTATAAATTTTGTAACACCTTTATTGTTAAGGAGCTGCCTTCACTAGGTGGAAATGAAGGAATACCACATAGTTCAAATTTTTATTAAAGAGTTAACTCAAGACTCTGTCATAGATCTTAATGCAAAGATGTGTGTTCTGTAGCACAGGCCATCCATTTGTACCATTTAGATGCATTTCTAAACTAAGTACCTTACTTTAGAAAACAAAAAAGGAAATTGTTAGTTTTTCAATTGCATCTACAACTACAGTATATTTACTTTGAATGAACCACATGGGTAAGGAATTACTACAGTAGGACTCCATATCCGCTGAGGATTGGTTCCAAGCCCCTCCATGGATACTGAAAACTGTGGCTAATAGCGAACGTTCCACATATAGCATGTTGTTTAGTCGTTCTCGTGTCCGACTCTTCGTGACCCCATGGACCAGGGCATGGCAGGCCCTCCTGTCTTCCATTGACTCCTGGAGTTTGGTCAAATTCATGCTGGTAGCTTCGATGACACTGTCCAACCATCTCATCCTCTGTCGGCCCCTTTTCCTCTTGTCTTCACACTTTCTCAACATCAGGGTCTTTTCCAGGGAGTCTTTTCTTCTCATGAGATGGCCAAAGTACTGGAGCCTCAGCTTCAGGATCTGTCCTTCCAGTGAGCACTCAGGGTTGATTTCCTTCAGAATTGACAGGTTTGTTCTTGCAGTCCAGGGAACTCTCAAGAGTCTCCTCCAGCACCACAATTCACAAGCTTTAATTCTTCGGCAGACAGCCTTCTTTAGGATCCAGCTCTCATTTCCATACATAACTAATGGATTCAGATTCAGAGAGTTCTGATTGGGCCCTACAGGCAAATGGCTACTCCAAAAATTAAAGCACAAGAGCCATCAAACCAAGAAAACAATACGAAACTGAACAGTAAAAACAGCCACCCATAAATAAAGTATTTCTGCCATACATCAAAGGGGTCACGGATTGCATGGGGAAATGTTTGAAAAAACACAACCTACAAACAGTATTCAAGCCCACCACAAAAATACAACAAATGTTATGGTCAGGAAAGGACAAAAGGGATCCCCTCACCACTGCAGGGGTATACCGGATACCTTGCAGTTGTGGCCAGGTATATATTGGAACCACAAAATGCAGTATCTACACCAGAATCAAAGAACATGAGAGACACTGCAGACTAAAACAACTGGAAAAATCGGCAGCAGCTGAACATGCCCTAAAACAAACTGGACATGAAATTCTATTTCAAAACGCAGAAGTACTGGACAACACCAGCAATCTTTATATTAGACTGCACAGGGAAGCCATTGAAATCCACAAACACCAGCAGAGCTTCAACAGAAAAGAAGAAAGTCTAAAAATCGACAAAACCTGGCGCCCAGCACTGAAAAACACAGCCTGCAAAATGTCAATGAACTCTACCCAGCGACAAGGACCGGTGATCACTGCACACGAAAGATCAGATAACAACACCCATCAATCACATTGACAGATAATCTCTCCCCCTTAACACAACAATACACCTATAACAAAAAAAATGCTGATCACCACAATCACCCATCTCCTGAAAAGGACAAAAGCTGATCCCACAGCTATAAATACTCAACTATCCAAACAAACTGCACCAGAGCACAGACAGAGTTCTGACTCCTGTGCTCTGAATACACCAGCCACAGAGGCTGGCGAAACATTAAGAAGAAGAGCCTCGTGGCGCAGGGATTAAAACGCTGTACTGCAGCTAAAACTGTGCTCACGACCTGGGGTTCAAATCCCAGGTAGCCGGATCAAGGTTGACTCAGCCTTCTATCCTTCCGAGGACGGTAAAATGAGTACCCAGCTTGCTGGGGGGACAATGTGTAGCCTGTATAATTAAATTGTAAACCGCCCGGAGAGTGCTTGTAGCGCTATGGGGCGGTATACAAGTCCAAAAAAAAAAAAACAACCTTCAGAACACAGCCAACGAGCCCGAAAAACCCATAACAACCATCAGAACATGGCCATGAAAGCCTTCGAGAATGCATTGCTTGTTCTGTCAACACCTGTATCAATAAACAATTTCTATTTGGTTCTTTTAAAATGACATATGGTCTGGATATCTACTATTAATAATAGGTATTGTTGATGAAATCAACTGGTGACAGCTGAAGGGGCACATAGTGTGAGCTCCTAGTTTGGTGAAACAATCAGGGGCCACGTGGAATCGTGACAGCCCCTTCACTGATATATAACACTGTTTAGAAATAGATTAGACATTTTCCCAAGAAGACACACACCAACTCAAAAACCACATGACTGTAAACTGACCTCAAAAACCCTGATCCATCTTCCAATTCATTTACACAGCATAACCACATCCTCAGTTAACGAAAAATATCAGTGTCTTTTAAAATATAAATTTCACTAGACTCACACCTTATGGAAACTTACAAGAAAGTTAAAGTATTGGTATTTAACATTATTACATTAAATTCATATTTAATTAGAAAAATGTAAGTGTAGTGAAAATTAAAAGCAAGATATACTAGTGGACACCTCAAATGCTTTTTGCTATTATTTCAAGTATTTCCCCCTTCTAAGGCCTCCCCTCTCTGTGCACAATCACAAGGCACACTTCTGGTTTCAGAAGTTTTGCAAAGTTTATTGCATAAAATATTGTTTTACATATCTTTAAGGAGGAATGTGGAACAAATTTATCATCATAGGAAGACTTTCTTCCTTAACATTCCTTGTTTCTCACCCACTTCACATCTCTTCCCCTCATATCCTACATGAAAAGCATTCCATGTATTTCATATCCTTATATGCCTGCTATCCGACCACTGCAGTTACCTTACCCATATGTTTCAGTAATAGAAGGGTAGCAATCAATTGCATAGGTGCACTTCTTGCAATATCTAGAGTGTAAGGTACTGTATCACTGCAGTCAGCTAACCCACTGCAATCAGGTAACTTTTCTCAGTGAGAGATTACATAAATGTTGAGCATACAGAATAGGCATAAATAATACATAGCAAAAATGTGGAGTTTTCCTGCACTGGAATGCAATTTTCCATCACCAGAAGATCCTTAAATGCTAATGTATAGTATTGAAGTCTAACAAACATGACATGCATATTAAAAATGAAAATAACTGCAGATTCAATGCAGTTTTACAGTTTAGATTTGAACAGTGAAATTACAGTCTGGTTTTTTAGGGACTGTTGTATGTTATTTGCACAACCTGTTAGCATGAATGTCAGGAGGAGGAGGGACTGTTTCTTTGTGGCCTAACATAGAGAATCCTTCAGGAAATGAATTCAGAGCCCAGTTATTTCTGAGATCTAAAATCCATCATGACTACTACAATCAAAAGAAGAAGGACTACAAACTTACTTATTCAGTGAGAGGTCAAGAATAAACAAGGAGCCAAAGGCTTCAATCTGGAAACTTGCCTGAGCCAGATGCACAGCCTGAAGACAAGAAGGAAAGAATGTGGGGCAAACACAAAGGATACGTTGTTATTTTGCCAAGTTATTCATAAAAAGCCAAGTTATTAATTAAAACATTTACACACTTTTAATCATCGTAGCGTGATTCAAGGCACGTTGTAAGCATTAAAAAGTTATTACCATATTAAATTAACTTTAACATTTTACCTATTACATCCTATAAAAAATATACAACACTAGATAAATAAGTAACATCACAGAAACACATCTGCTGCACTTAACTAGCTAATATATTCAAGGTGATGATGGGGGGGGGCTCCTCTTTGAAACTCCAGCCATTGGCCTGCGGTGTGCCTCAGGGTTCTGTCTCCTATGCTATTTAACAGCTACATGAAACTACTGGGAGAGATTGCCCGGAGTCACCAATATGTGGATGACACATAGCTCTACCTCTCCTTTTCATTAAAATCAAAGTGAGCTATTTCAGTTCTAGATCATGTTTGAAGTCTGCAAAGGACTGGATGAAGGAGAATAAAATGCAACTTAATCCAGGCAAGACAAAGGTGCTCCTCGTCAGTCAAAAGGCAGATCAAACAATAGGGATTCATCCTGTATGAGATGGGGTTACACTCCCTCTGAAAATACAGGCATGCAGCTTGGGTGTGTGTGTGTGATTCTGGATTCATCTCTGAGCCTGGATACCTAGGTTTCAGTGGTGGCCAGGAGTGCCTTTGCACAGCAGTTGTGCCCACTCCTGGAAAAGTCTGATATGGCCACAGTGACAGATGCCTTATTTACATCCCAGCTGTACTGTGCAGTACATGGCGGTGTCCTGGAAAATCATTGAAAATGCTGCAGCCAATGTTAAGTAGGGCTGGTTACAGGGATCGCATAACCCCCCAAAACTGTGCTCACGACCTGGGGTTCAAACCCAGGTAGCCGGCTCAAGGTTGACTCAGCCTTCTATCCTTCCGCGGTCGGTAAAATGAGTACCCAGCTCGCTGGGGGGGGGGGGCAATGCGTAGCCTGCATAATTAACTTGTAAACCGCTCAGAGAGTGCTTGAAGCACTATGGGGCGGTATATAAGCAGCACGCTTTGCTTTGCTTTTGTTTTGCTTTTTAACCTATAAAGCTCTAAATGGCCTGGCTTCAAGCTATCTCAAAAACCCTGTCTCCCTTTATGAGCCTGCCCGAGTGTTAAGATCATCAGGGGAGGTCTTTCTTTTGGTACCACCACCCTCAGAGGTGCACTTGATAGGGACAAAGGAGGCCTTCTCTGTTGCTGCTCCTGGACTCTGGAACTTCCTCCTATAGGTAGCCAGACTGACCCTATCTTTGCTGTCCTTTGGCAAGCAGGTGAAGACCTTTCACTTCAGGGAGGCTTTTCCTTAGCGACTGACTGACTGTCTAGGAGCAGTTTCAACTTCACTTCAGGGAGGCTTTTCCTTAGTGACTGACTGACTGTCTAGGAGCAGTTTCAAAACATGATGGTGTGTATTTTATTGCTTCTAAATCTGTTTTTAGTAATGCTTGGATGGTGTGTATTTTATTGCTACTAAATCTGTTTTTAGTAATGCTTTTGCCTAACATTTTAAATGCAATGTTACTAATTGATTTTAATATTTGAATAATTTACTATTTTTAGCTTTTGATATTATTTTTAATGATGTAAAAATAAGACATCATTTAGGAGAAAGGTGGAGTAAAAATATTTTAAATAAAATTTAGAAATAAATAAAAATCTAAATGCTTTAAACAATGCATTACATAATACATATAGCAGCCTACACTAATATCAATAAAATATTTTGTAATATCTCTCTAGTGTGAAGCCTCCATTAAAATATCGGCTTGGGTTGTATCTTATCTCTGAAATGAATAACCGAATGTTTGCATATGGGTGGAGGGAGTATTTTCTAATAAGCTGAGACAATTATGCTAAAATAAAATCTCCATCAGTTCCTCCTGCCCTCTAGGAGACACTCATTAGGTCCATAAGAAAGAAACCTAACTTGGCAGCGAACAAAATTGGCAATTATAGGCCCGTTGCCAATGTTTCTTTCACCAGCAAAGTGGTGGAGAGGGTGGTGGAGAGCCTGACTAGCTTCAGGCTCTTTTGGATGAAACAGATGCCCTGGATCCGTTTCAGTGGGGCTTCAGGCAGTGCCATGGTACAGAAACGCCATTGGTTGCCCTGTATGATGACCTGTTGAGGGAGGCTGACAAGGGTAAAATATCTCTGTTGGTCTTTCTCGACATCTCGGCGGCCTTTGATACCGTCAACCACGGTATCCTCCTGGGGAGGCCCACCGAATTGGGAATTGGTGGCCTGGCGCTTGCATGGCTCTGTTCCTTCTTGGGGGACCATCTCCAGAGAGTACAGCTTGGGGAGAGTGTATCGGCTCCATGGAGTCTCAATTGCGGGGTTCCACAGGGGTTGATTATCTCACCAATGCTGTTTAATATCTATATGTGGCCGCTGGGTGGGGTCATCAGGGGGTGTCGGGCATCGTGTTATCAGTATGCTGATGACACCCAGCTCTACATCTCCTTTTCACCAACTGCAGGTGATGCCGTCCTGTCCCTTCAGCGCTGCTTGGGGGCCGTACAGCAATGGATGCAGGAAAATGGGCTGCGACTGAAACCCGGACAAGACGGAGGTCCTGAGGGTGGGTGGCCCCACTATTGGTGTCTTGGGTGACTCTGTCTCGTTTGGGGGGGTGACCCTGGCCGCAAAGAGTGGGGTTTGCAGCCTGGGGATCTACCTGGACCCGGTGCTCACTATGGAGACTCAGGTGGCGTCGGTGGTCCGTACCGCCTTTTTCCATCTTTGGTGGATAGCCCGACTGCGACCCTATCTCGATACGGGGGTGCTCACTACCTTGGTTCATGCGCTCGTAATCTCGAGATTAGACCACTGTAATGTGCTCTACGTGGGGCTACCTTTGAAGTTGACCCAGAAACTCCAAGTGGTGCAGAATGCGGCAGCCAGACTCCTTAGCGGAGCAAGAAAATACCACCATATTTCTCCTATTTTGGCCGTGCTGCATTGGCTACCCATTCGGTTCCGCGTTGACTTCAAAGTCTTGATGCTTACGTATAAAGCCCTAAACAGTTTAGCACCTCGATACTTGGCGGAACGCTTACTTCCACCAAGCTCTACCCATGTCACTTGAGCGAGTCAGGAGGTGAGGCTGAGGAGCCTGACGCCGAGGGAGGCCCGGAAGGAAAAAACAAGAAACCGGGCCTTCTCGGCAGTGGCTCCTCGCCTCTGGAACCATCTGCCTCCGGAGATTCACACGGCTCCCTCACTGGGTACTTTCAAAACCCAATTTAAAATGTGGATGTTTAGGCAGGCCTTCCCTCCAGTTAATTCCTGATTCTCTCTCCTCCTTTCTCTATTGTGGTTTATTTTTTGTTTGCTCTTCATCTTGAAGAATTGCCTAATTGTGTAATAATTCCTTTTTTAAAAGACTCTTTAAAACACCCAGAGAGGGTGCCCGGGTGATTTCCGGCTGCAAGGTGTTCCATAGTCGAGGGGCCACTGCCGAGAAGGCCCGGTTTCTTGTTCTTTCTTTCCGCACCTCTCTCAGCGTTAGGCCCCTCAGCCGTCTTTCCTGGATAAAACGAGTGACTTGGGTAGATCTACGTGGGAAAAGGCGCTCCGCCATGTATCGAGGTCCTAAACCGTTCAGAGCTTTATAAGTCATCATTAACACTTTGAAGTCGATGCAGAAACGAGCGGGCAGCCAATGCAAGGCGGCAGGATGGGAGAGATGTGCTGGTATTTTCTCATACCCAGTGAGAAGTCTGGCTGCTGCATTTTGCACCATTTGAAGTTTCCGCAGCAACCCCAAAGGTAACCCCACGTAGAGTGAATTGCAGTGGTCTAATCTCGAGATTACAAGCGCATGGACCAGAGTGGTGAGCACCCCAACATCAAGATAGGGATGCAGTATTTTGTGTTGTAAGCCGCCTAGAGTGGTCGCAATGACCATAGGCAAGATATAAATAGAATAAATAAACACACAAATGTATGTTTATAAGGATCTTTTCTTCCTATAAAAGAGTCCAAAATGCTAACTTTCAATGTAAACATCTATTTGGTCCACATTCACAGTCTCCTCTGACATACATTTATTTTCAGGTTCATCAGAAAATAATGAGCACAACAGTAGTGATAAACTCTACGGTGTCCATACTGAATATATGTTTTTCATTAATTCATAATGGATTGTTTACATTTTTATTCTCTTAAAAGATTAAGGACTTTGCACATTACCCTGAGATATGAGTTTACTAGCTGAAAGGCAGAATATATACTTTTTAATAAATACATAAAAAAGCAATCTCAGCTATACAAAACAAACAAACAACTCATTTATCTGAGCATCTGTCAACAGGACCAAAAATTAAGTTGACTACTAATTTCACTAACAATTCAACATGACAAAATGAATTCTAATTAATATTACATTACTTGTCACTGTACTATCCTTCTATGAACTACACATTTGCAGTTCACACTGTAATTAGGGAACTTTCATAGTACTTCCTTTCTGACATAAGTAAGGGATATCATTCTTTAACAATAGCAGGAATCACTGTGGTAAATTCTGACACTAGTCCCTGTTTGTTTCAGAAGCCCTCTTCAATTATTCATCATTCTATAATAGTTTGTAGCTTACAATAAATTCACAATCCCATTAAAACAATCCACAAAGTTTGCAAGTAAAGCAGGATGACCTTTTTATATGCATGGGACTATGGCTTAGTCCAGGGGTCTCCAAACTTTTGATCATGGGAGCCACACCGAATATTTTGAACATTTTAGGGCCAAAGGAACAGGAACATGCACGCATGCATATGCATGGCCACACACATGCATACCCCCACCCACCCTTGCACGCACGCACCGTTGCCTGCCCACACGCACAGGCTGAAGGGAACGGGCCGGATAAAATGGCAAGGCAGGATGTGGCTCGCAGGCCGTACTTTGAAGATCCCTAGCTTAGCCAAT